ATGAAAGTTTAGTATCGCAACAGCAAATCCGACCAAAGTTGAGGTATTTTTTAGACCCTTATCCCTAAATTTTATTCTTTCTATTCGTGCAAAAATATGGTTATTACCTTCATTTCTAATTCTATAAAATAATACGTAAAATAATATATGAAATATGAAATAATAAAATATAAAATATGGTTTCTGTAAAGTTTGTTCTTTCAATTTACTTTATTCATTGAGACTTTATATGACAAAGAGGCACCATAAATAATAGGGTTTCACTCTTGTCTTATACTACGACATACCTAATTTTGACTCAATTGAATCATGCCGTCCAAATGATAAAAGTTAGAGACAGCAATTATATTTGACTTGTCATTTAATTGATCTTTATTTGTTATTATATATGATTTTCTTTTTATTATATCTGGATTTGTAACCTTTTTAACCAAAAAAAATGTGAATTTGGCATTTCACTAAGGTAAAAAAATAGTTTCGAGAAAATTCATCTGTAAAAACTTGGAATATATAACTGTCAAACAATTAATAGTATTATTTTAAGAAGAAATGGACAAAACTTCTTTCGAGAGCATACTTCTACTTCTAATCCAGGTTGTTAAAAACATAAACAATAAACCAATGCTTATGATTTACGAATTTGGTCCTTAAATGGTAAACTTGGGGATATTTTGTGATCAATGTAATCTTAATTTTTGTTACCTTTCTCTTTCTGATGTGGTTGAAATAGATGTTTTAAAAGGTGGGTGTGTGAAGCGAGACGTTTTACATAGTATGAGATAAAGCATAAGTCTCACGAATTTTATGAAAAGTATATCTCATGTATCTTCAATTTTATAATTTTATTACTAAGTAAGAGTAATAAACAAATGAATCAGTAATAGTATAGACAAAAATATTACTACAATTATTAGATTTGATAGAGGTAACAACACAAAAATAATAATAGCTAAGATAATCTTTAATATGAAATCATCATTAATTTTATCATTGATCTCCACATTTACTAGTCCTTCCCATCCTCAACTAATATTTACACTGATTATTAATTATATATTTCAAAAAAAGAAGTATGATAGAAAGTGTAAGAGCGATGACAAAAAATGGAGAGAATTGCCTAAAAACATAGTGTTATGGACTATCTATTATATCAATATCATGATTATTTGAACAAGTATTTATTAGGAAAAAAAGTTTGAAATATATCCAAACTTTGATCGAAATTATTGTAACAATCCCAAACTTTGTGCAAGATCTATTACCCCTGCATTATTTAATAATGTATTTCAAAGATACATAAGTGTTTAGCTGGACAAGTTACTATTTATAATGATACAATATTTATGATGTCCACGTGGTCACCTATATATCTTTAAAATACACTATTAAATAGTGCAGGGGGTAATAGGTTCTGCACAAAATTTGGAATTGTTAAGCAATTTCGATCAAAGTTCGGATATATTTCCCTATTTATTATAATGTCAATTTTTATGATTATTGCTTTCTCTATTTATACATACTTTAAAAAATCACTATAACATGAAAACACAATTCTAAATATCATTACGCTATAATAAAATAAATATAATTTATTAAAAAAATATTTTAAAATAATAAAAATTAAAAATAACGTTCAGAACTTACTCTTTTACGTTCATGACTTATATATTAAAATAAATTCTAAAGTGGACACACAAATTCTAAGGTATACGCCTTATAGATCACACTCCAAAATATTTTTGATACGTCTCTAGCCCTGAGATTTGCCCGAAGACTTTGAAAACACTGGTTGAGACACCGATAACTATGAGACCAATGACCCTAAATTACAAACTAAAAGGACTCTTTATGTTTAATTGTTAATAAAAAGGACTAAATCAAGTCAAGCCATAAACTTAATGGAGCAGCTGTGTTATTTTATCGCATATCCAGCGCTGATGAACGTGGGATGCGTTTTTTTTTTCCAATTATAAACGCGGAATAGCTGAAAAAGAAAAGGACCCTGGTGTGTTTGATTGATGTTTACGGGAACCATTCTCCTGAAAAAAGTAATTTTTTTTTTATAATATAAGTAAAAAAGATATTATTTTTAAAAATATTATTTGTCTCAAGGAGTGACGGATAAAGTGGGGGGTGGGGGTGGGGGAACGGGAGTCTGAGAATAACAAAAATAATCAGAACAAGGAATGCCACTTGTCAAATTTATTTTCTTTAATTTTATAAGTCACGTCAATTTTCTTATTTAAAAAAAAATATTTTATTGTAAAAAAATTTAACTAGACAAATGTAGAAAAATTGATCATTTAAGGATATGATGTAATGGCTAATAAATGAAATAAGTTGAAAATCATGATGTTTCAAATTTAAATTTCAACTCAAAGTAAATAAAAATGTTACAGTAGGTAATTTCTTTTTATCTATTTATAATAATTATTTTAAATCTGTTGTTAGTGAGAGATGAAAAGCATCACGTGAAATCGGTTAAAGAAAGACAAAAAACTGAAAAGTGTTTTCTGACCTGCCAAACACATTTGAGTGGAAACAATTGAAAAATGGCGGAGCGTGAAGGACAAGCACTAGTGGCGCGTGAAGATATTGCTGAACTAAAGCAGCCGCATCCACGTCATAATTACCCCCACACGGAAAAAAAAATGTTCTCATTCTCATTGTAATCATCGATTGGTTGGTTGAAATTTTTAGTACCAAATTTAGCTTCCTTCCATCATGATTAAGGACTTCAACATACCCTACTAAGGAATCAGATTTTGTTTAGCTATAGGTATAAGTATGCGAATTTCTCTATCTTCCTTCTTCAAAACTTCAAATTTGGGGTTTTGTGATGTGAATTTTGATACTTTATAGTGAAATTCAATGGGGCATTCCGACGATCTTTGCAACATAGAAGGGAACGGAGATGGGAGAAGTAATAACGGTGCTTCTGGTGTTCCGTCAACATCGGCGGCGGCTAGCTCTGCTTACAAGTTGTTCGGCCGGGAAACCTCTTTCCACCAGATGATGGGCGGCGGAAAAGGTAAATTCCTCTATTTTTTTCCTTATTTCATCTCATAGAGATCAGCTGGCAGAACTCCGCTCTCCGGTTTAACTGTTACGCCAAGTTTCATAGAAATGAAGCTGATATTTTGTCTGAAAATATGACCATATAACCTCGATTAAATATGAATTCTGAGTCTTAAGTTTGTGATTTTATGTTAGGATAGCAATTATAATGTATTGATCCAAGGACTAAGACTAGGAAGCGTGTAAAGTGAAAAACTATGCCTGTATATGATTCTCTTTTGTGCTCATGCTGGAAATGCCTGGAACTGTGGCCCTGCCGCTTTATGGTTGAACTTTCTGATTTTATTCATGGCGGTATAGAGCTTAACAACTCATGTTATTACTGGTTGAATCACTTTTTTATGCGTATTTCTCTCTTGCCTTGTATGAGGGATGTGTTCTAAAATAGATTTTGGTAGCAGAGCTCAATCATTATATGAATCAAAGATGGCTCTCTAATGAAGGCTTAGTTATATTTCTTGACAATCTCCACATATGTTAGCTTCATTACCTCCTCTACTTCCTCTTTGAGTGCAGTAGCTTTCTCAATGCAATTGCTAAATGGTTTACATTTTCCTTAAGTTGTGTCTTTTGCAAATTTGTTCTTGTTGCTTGATGACTTTTTTGTGACTGACTTGTTATTTCACTTGGTATAAGCTGCTGACGTTATATTGTGGAGGCGGAGGCGTGTCTCTTTTGGCATCATTGTTGCTGCTACAGTCGCATGGATCATCTTTGAGTATTCAGAGTTACCTTTCTTGTCAGTTTCTTCTGATGTTTTACTGATTCTGATAGTTCTGCTCTTTCTCCGTGCGAACTATGCAGCCTTCAGGAAGAAGTATTGTTCCCATACTCATTTCACTAATTTGCTCAGATATTTGTCTCCTTCTGTGTTTCGTTCTCCTATGGAGAAGTTCAACTGATATTTCTTTTTTCTATCTTCGACAGACAACTCCCAGCATTACCAGAGTTAGTCTTGTCAGAAGAAATGGTTAATAATGCTGCAGCATCATTTCGGGTCAAAATTAATTATATGCTTCTCATGGCTCATGATATCACTCTTGGCAAAGATTTCAAACTCTTCTTCAAGGTTAGTGCTCGTTAAGCGTGAGGATGTGATTCCTTATCCAAAAACAACAAAAAAAGGGCCAAAAACATAGGGGTGTGATTAATGCTGGACATTGTGCATCCGACTACAATAAATTAAACTAAATCATGAGCTCTGAAAAAACTTAAACAATGATCTCGAATTAGGTATTTAAGTGTTTTTCCCAAGTGCATAAACTGAAGAGAGAAAATTAGAATTGACCTGGAATCATGTTGAGAAAGGGAAAAAGTCATTGTTGTTATGTAATGTTTTAACTTTCAAGATAACAGAGTGGAGAATATCTAGTAACTCTGTGACATCGGTTGTAGATGACCAGTAATGTATTGTTTTCATTCAACAATTATAAGGTGCTTATGAATCTCGATGTTTGTAGTTTGATTTATTTCATAGTGAGTAGTAAGTATTACCTGGAGACTGGGGAATTTGTGGAGCGTAATTTGTGCCTTTAGGCCCACAACTGGCTTCATCTCCTTTCTGGCTTACGTGCAATAAATTATCCAGCTTGACTAGCAATTGATGATGTTACAGTAATCTACTTCCATAGAGCTACCCATGGTAGCTGATGCTTAACTTATGGGTTGTAGTTATCATATCTTGAATATTGCGTCCTACTTTATTCTTAGGATACAAGTGTTGGTTATAGTTTTGACTAATTGTCATTTGCATAGAACTGAGCTGGCCAATTTTTGACATGTTTGCAGGTAGTTATTGTTCTGTGGCTTCTATCTGTCATAGGAAGCGTAATATCTTTCTTCACACTTGCATATATTGGTATGTGCCTATTTCATTACATTATATGATGTAACTTGATGAATCTTTATAGATATATGTGTTCAATGAATTTATCCTTCCCTATTTATTTCTTGTTGTACTTTACTGAGTTTCCTTGGTCCCTTGTTTGACTGAGCACCCTTGTTCCAATTTAGTAAGGACAAACAAGAGAAACAGATTTGAATAGATTACTATAGTATTAAACTTATGAATCATACAATGGAAAAGAGCAATAAAGTACAAACATCTGGTAGATTTACTATGGAGACTCTATTTTGCTAACAAGATTTACAGAAATTTATTGTAAACAGCAGAATGGTTTCATATTCGTTTACATAGAGAAAATATATGATGAAGTAAGAATGTTCTGTGCTGGGTCTTTGAGACAAAACAATGTACATATCAAAAGCAACATGTAAAAAGAAAAAGAAAGTATACACATAATAAGTATGAATACTGTAACGCGGTAACGGATATGTAAGAAGGAGGGGTTACATGTTTGAGAACAGTTGGAGCCTTGGAGGAGATTTAAAAGTCTCTTATACACATGAGCCTACGTTGGGAGTTTTGTTGAGCTTGTATTTAGTTATGAATGAGATAATCAATACTCAATAGTACGAAGAATGAAGATTTAAGGTGCATGCTATTTGGGGATGACATTGTATTAATTGACGCAATTAGTCAAGGAGTCAACCAAAAGTTGAAAGCATAACGAGCATTACTACAGAGGGTAATGATTTTAATGATAAGTAAAAATAAGACAAAGTATATGTAGTAAATTTAGCTTCCATAAGAAGATTGGTGCCTAAAAGTAGTCAATTAAGATATTTAGGCTCAATCTCTTCTAAGAATGACATGCTTGAAGAACTAACATAAATTCAATGGTCCTACTCTAAGTGGAATAAGTGATTGATGGACCCGGATGATTGGCTATGGAAGGGGAAGGGATTGGAATTTTCTTGGTAAAACCCTTCTACAAAACTTTATTGAATTGAGAGGATACAATATTTTTATGCTTATCGGTTTGGATTCCTAGAGCTCGTAGGAAAGTATGCTCTCTCACTTCACTAGCAGTAAGAAGGGAGATTCTCTTAGCGGAAAACTTGAAGAAGAAGAGGATTACGTATGTGAACTTTGTGCTACATATGCAAAGACTAAGGAGAATATCTTGATCATTTACAGTTAAACTGTCCGACCGTAGACTAGTTATGATAGACTATGCTGAAAAATTTCAGAATATTGTTGTCAATGCTACCTGTAGTTGTGGATGTGTTGTTCAATTAGGTATCGAGCCGATGGGAAAAGAAGGCAAAGACATTGAGATGTAGCTGGCCTTTTTGTGGCTTATAGAAGGAGAGAGAAATAAGAGAGCTTTTGAATGAGTTGAGAACACTTTGGTACAAATGAGAGCATGTCTTTTGTTTCTAGTCAATTTTTGTGAGTGCCATGAGGTCCCAGTCAGTTTAGATGATTTGGTAGTCTTTTATACTTTATAGAAGGGAAAAGGGTCAAAATACTCCTCAACTTTGGTTTATTGTTTGACTTTACCCTCGCCGTTAAAATGAAGTTAAATTTACCCCTTCCGTTACTAATTTCACCAAAATTACCCCTCATTAAACAGAATCCCCAAAATTGACCCAAATTACCCAAACTTTTTTTTAAAACCTTATTCCCTATTTTTAACCCAATGCCCCGACCTGCCCCGACCCCTCTAGAGGATAACCCGCTTCCCTATTCTTCAGCTTCTCTGGAGAGTATGCTAGGAGAGGGAGGAAAGGTGACTGCAGTTGAGCAAAAGCTTTCTACTCCTCCAGGGAGTGCGCACGGAGAGGGAAAGAAAGTGACTGTGGTCAATCAAAAACCGTCCGCTCCTCCAGGGAGTATGCTAGGACAGGGAAAGAAGTTGAATGTGGTCGATCAAAGACCTTCTAAGGTTTACTCTCTTGAACCCTCAGAAATGATGAAGAAAAAGGCACCGCTGCCACCAAAGAGTGTTCACTCTCTGAAATTGGATTCCTCAAGTTACAAGATGCCAGAGACAGAGAAGAAAATGAAAATCTGTTTTGGCAAAGCATTCTCTTCCTGAGCAGAGAAAGCTCAAAATGGTAAAATCTTCATCTAAGATCTTAGGAGGTGTAGATGCGGGAGTCAGAAAAGTCGGTGCTGTTAATTCTAGAAAACAAAAAATTGTGTCTAAAGTATCTGCAGAGAAGTCTTTGAAGATCCCAACCGGGTTATCCTCTAGAGGGGTCGGGGCAGGTTGGGGCATTGGGTTAAAAATAGGGAACTGGTTTTTTTTTTTTTAAATTCGGGTAATTTGGGTCAATTTTTGGGGATTTCCATTTAATGAGGGGTAATTTTGGTGAAATTAGTAACGGGAGGGGTAAATTTAACTTCATTTTAACAGCGAGGGTAAAGTCAAACAATAAACCAAAGTTGAGGGGTATTTTTGACCCTTTTCCCTTTATAGAATCCTATTTTGTGCAAGTGTTTTTACTTTCTGTATCAACCCTTGTAAACCGGTGATTTTCCTCATCACATTGATAAAATCTTTACTTTGTCAGAAAAAAAAAAGAACAAAGAAAATGAAGATGCTATATAGCAGTAAAATAAGATGGTTGAAAATGGAGGGGTGGTACATAATGATATGTGATTGAAAATAGTTACTTGTTCCTCAAAAAAAATGATATGTGATTGAAGATACCTAATGAAGTGAAATGTAGATCTTATGACTATTGTGAAACCAACAATGTTATATGAGAGTGGATGCTTATTTATTTCATTTTTTTATTTTTTTTGAAATCGGTGGTATCCATGCTAGTTGCTCGCATCTCGACTAATCCACCGGATATCTACTATTTCCATTAGCATGAATATTGGGTAACAGTAACACCTTCCACCCAAGTTTAGATATGAAAGAATTCACTTACTAGCCAAAGTTACCAGTTTCCGAAGAAAAAAAAAAGAATTTACTTACTAGCCTCTGGTAGGATTTAGACCTTGGTTAGGTGTAGTCTATTCCAGTTTCATTGATTGTTTGGCCACACTTTTGGTTATTGTTATTAGTACCAAGCATATCTCTAAATGAAGATATTGCATGCTCCTTGGTTCAAATATCTTCATGTAGAGATAATTTTGATTTGTCTTAAAAGATTAATTAATCTCTAGTATTAAAATAAACAGTTTTGAATAGAGTGAAATGGATATAAAAGATTTATATAGTTGACCCTGATTAGTCTGGGATTGAAGCACAGTTGTTTGATTGACTTTATTCTATTGAGGCTTAGATTATATTGTAGTTGACAAGAAAATCTGAAGTTTGCATGAATAAAATCATTAAGATTTTATGCACTGGCCTTCCTGTGAAACCAATGAATATCGTCTAAAATTGGGTGGGAGTGACCAAATAGAATGGTATATGCTTAAAAAGCGATGCACTTCTTTATCGAATGATTTCATTGCACTATGCAGCTATTTTTACTGGTTTCATGTCCATCCTTATTTGTTGATCCACTGTGAGCATGTCTGATGACCCCATGCAGATAATATAGTTCCACCACAATAAACATCCTCTTAGTTAGTCGGTCCCATTTCTGCAAAGATTATGTTCATTGCATTTGTTTGGTTCAAATCATATTTCCCAAAGTTCAACAACAATTTGCATCTTCCATAATTTGAGCTGTGTTTTTCTACACCACGGTCAGTTTGCAGTTCTGACGTGTTTTTGCCTTCATAATTCATCACAGGAACGATAATATTCATTACTGTGCCTGCCTTGTATAATAAATTTGAAGACCACGTGGATCGATATGCTGGAAAGATCCACAGGCAACTTTCAAGGCACTACAAAATAGTGGATGAGAGCATTAGCAGGCTGCCCCGGAGTATCTCCAAGGACAAAGAACTATAGAGTCTTCTTTTACCAAGTAGGAGCATGTTGATTTGCATGAGACAAACCTTTTAGGTGTGCATTCCTTTGGTCCTGATTCTCCTTTTCCATAGAATGAGGATGATCTGGAAATTTTTCCTGTTTCCAAACTTCAAGTTTGGATTTTCAAAATTAAGCTAACAATGGCAATTGTCACCGACTCTTACCATCTACGCTGTCCTTGTGGCAGGTGTTACATAGTACAGATTTTTGTAAACATCTTGTATTTTTTGTGTGTGTTATTGTTGAAATGTTAACATCTCGGATGGATAACTCTTTTTTTTTTTTACAAGTTTAACAAGCACTTCAAAAAATGAATTGCCTGTTTCTCCTTCCTGCTTATTGCCTGCTTCTCTTCTTCTTCATATCCACATCAATGTCCATTTTCATATCGCAACCAAGCATGAATTTCAAATGATATAAGTTCTGTCACGTTATTCTCACACGAGTACTAAATTGAAGTATGAACTACATAGCTCAAACTTAACACACAGAATCTGGAAGTATAAGTTGTTGAGTTCATAATGACACAAATTCATGAATGTATGTATTGTTTAGTCATCCAAATCCTAAGAAAACTAAATTGAAGTATGAACTACTACTGTTGTTGCTTTCTTATTATACCCATTTTTTTCAACTAAATTGAAGTATGAACTACTACTGCTGTTGCTTTCTTATACTCATTATTCTGTCTGTTTCTCTAATTGCCAGAAGTTGAAATCACAATAAATGAACACAAGCTTGAAGTTTGAATGTCCCCGAAGCATGAATTGAAAAACTGTACTTCAGGACAATAAAGCTAAAATCCTGAAGTAAATTTTAAAAACTGAACTTAAGGACACAATGTTTTGAACCAAAAAACTAAACTTAAGGTAGAATCTACTTCAACTTTGAACTAAGAATTGAACTTATGGAACACTGTTCTAAAGTTTGAGGAAGCGTAGAAGCAGCAGCAACAATATTTGTCTGCTTTTTAAGCTGTGTCTATACATTAAATAATTTACAAACGCTGGCTTAGACTTAAAACAACAATCCTAAAAGTGGCTATTTGGTGCCATAAGTTGGGTGACCAATTTATGTCTTTGGCTTATAAGCACTTGACTGATATGCACTTTTAGTGTTTATCAAGCGTGTAGACTCCAAACAATACTTACAAGCTAGTTTGACCAACTTATAAGTTTGAAAGGATTAGTGTAAGTGTTTTATTGATCTTATTCACTAGCGTTGCCTATAGAAACAAATTATTCAAATGAAAGGCAAACACAAAAGAAAGATATGGAAGAAGAAAATGTACCAAAGCAATTATAAAGAAGGATAACATGATGACATGAAGTTGCCCTAATTCTGCTTACACAATGAATTAGGTACTACTAATAGACAAATCTATGTGATATTCAAGTGACCTTCAAATCCATAAATGGCCACTAATCAAATATCCCTAAAATTGTAAAAAAAATAAAAATTACTAATAGGCCTAAGCGGGTGCAAACCAGCCACCACAGCAATAGAGCCAAACTCCCCACCATGAGGGAGTTTTCTCCCAAACCTACTCACCCCTTTCATGCCATATACAAATTACAAGTTGAAAACCCCTCAATTTGTGCTTATAGTAAATTAATTAATTAAAATTGAGCCCCTTCAAAAGTTTGTCCAAATTGCCAATTAGTTGGTGCAGCATTGTTGCTAATGAGTGTCCTTCCATCACTTGTAGTGACTTGAAATGAAAGACTTTGACCATTTAGATTAGAATTGCTTTGCCAATTTTGGCCCCAATTTCTTGACATTGCTTGCCATCCAGTATTGGACCCTTTAATTGAAACTGATTGAATATCACCAGCACCTCCAACATTTGTCACTAAAACCAAGTTGAAAAAAGAGTGTCCATTTACTGTAAACCTTATTCCTCCTTTTCTCATACAGGGTACCCTGTAAAATGTCCAAAACAAAATCCACATATTAGTACATGTTCAACTGAACTCGTTACTTTTTTTAAATAATGTACACTTATAATAATTACTAAAGTTTACCTTCGAAAAGATACAGGGACGATACCAGCTTGGTATTTAGCAATTTCCAAGAAAGCAGGTTGTGCTAAATCAAAATGTTGGAGAGGAGGATTGCACCAACCACCATTATTGTTAGGCAGAGACGGGTTCGGAGGACAAAAATTAGTTGCAGTGACTGTAATAGTTCCTTGGAGACACCATTGAGCTGCATTGTTGCAAGTGAGCTCATAACAAGCACCACAAGTTAAACCATTGTTGAATAGTGCTGTACTTAGTGCTGCAGTGTTAGTTCCATACCCTTGGCTATACAAATTTCCATATCCACAAGCCCCCCCTGCATTTGGACAACCATATATGTTATTATACTATAACAAGTTTAACTTTTATATGCTGACAACGTCCATATTAGTAATTTTGAAAATATGACATGTTACCAGTTAAAACAAGTCAAAAGTCCACTTGTAATGTACAAAATCTATACACTTTCTATGTATACAAGTTAATTTTGTTAATAATTAATGTATAGTTAACTTGATTTTAATGTGAAAAACTATATGGAAAGCAGGAGCGGCACAATCGTCTTAGCCCCCAAATTTGAGGGCCTCATTTTCTAAAAAAATAATAGGTTATAAATATATATATTTTAAAAATATCGAGTATTATTTGTAAAAGAAGTAATATAAATTAGACAAATCTTGAATACTATATCTCAAGAAAGATTAAATAATTGGCTATAATAAACTTCACAAAAATATATATAGTAGAATTTAACGCCTCTATTTGGATTTTGCTTTAGACCACTCATGTGTTTGAGCCGCGCTCAGATGGAAAGTAAGAAAGTACAGTGGATATACATACCCATTGTGCCAGAGGCATCACCCCCTCCATAGAAAGTGGCATGAGCAGTTTGCCATCCTCCATAATCAGCAAAAGTAGAATAGAAGCAAAAGCTTAAAAAGAAGAAAACAAGTGGAAGTGAAGCCATTGAGTATATTAAAACTAAGGAGAGGATAAGAGATGAGTGGGAATTGATATGAGCTAAGGGTTATGGACAAAGTTCTATTTATACAGAAAAAAAAAATAGAAGCTGAATTTTAGGCATAAGATATGGTAATTAATTCTACTAGAAAGTGACAAGTTTAAAGTGCTCACGTCTTGAAAGAAAGAGTATTTAGACCAATCTGAGTTGTGGTGCAGTAGTGAGACTGCTTCACACTTATAGAAGATTTCAGGTTCGACCCTAAATATGGAGATAATCTTGTTGGGAGCGCCACCCCTGAATGAGCCCCGAAGTGCGCGATCGTCAGCGTTCCAATGCAGACTCTGGACACCGAGTAAGAAACCAAAAAAGAAAGAAAGAGAATAAGACCAACATGAGTTGTGGTGCAGTTGGTGGGATTGTTTCACCCTTAACCAGCGATCTCGATTTGAGTCCTGAATATGAAGAAAATCTTGTTGGGAGCGTCACCCTCAAATGAACCATGTCGTGCATGATTTGAATTTAGTTAGAGTTCCAATGCAGACACCGTGTGAGAAACCACAAAAGAAAGAAAGAAAGAGTATTAGAACCATTTGTTTTTTTAAGTCATAAAATAAAACAACTACCAAAACGCACATGCAATTGTTCCACTTGAGATTTGATTGACCCTACTTAGCACATGCAATATTTCTCAACCCTATTTCTACGCTTTCCTTTCATTCATTCATTTGTTTTCATCTCTTATTTCCCCTAAAAAGTTGCGCCACTCAAGTAGGTGACAACGTAGGAAGTTGGAAGCTTGCTTCAACAAACTTTTTAATTGTAACTAACTATTCTACTACCATAGAACAAGCCTTTTTTTTAATGGTGGCTAAGGCTAGTTTTACCTAATATATAAAAAGGGAATCTCAAAAAAGAAAGTATAAGTAAGTCGGTTTAGGTCTTATTTTATTAATCCTAATGAGGCAAAAATATATTATGAGTTTTGGAAGAATGAGTGTATTATAACTACTATTAGAAAAAGGTGGATCTAAGATATAAATTTGACATGTTAGGCGTGGTGACTAAGGCTAATTTTTATTGATAAAAAAAAAAGGAACCTCAAAGAGAAGAGTACAAGTAAGGCGAATTCTCACGAGGCAGAGATGTATTCAAGATTTTGAAGGAATATTAGGTCGGTCTATTACGAAAATACTCCATCTGTCCCTAATTACTTGTCCATTTTTTACTTGGCACACCTATTAAAAAAATTGACATAGATTTTACCATTTTACCTCTATTAATTGATAGAATTTCAAAATCAATTTACTCATTAAAGATGTTCTACCTTTTTCAAAAACATTAACTGTTTAAATAAATTGATGATATAATAAATTAAAAAATATTATTTTTTCTTGATTTGTCAAAAATAGAGCTGTCAATATGGGCTAGCCCACCCCATCTGGGCTAACCCATACATGCTTTGACATTTTACAGGCCAGGCCAGAAAACGGTCGGCCCAACCCACAAGTACGTGGGCTGCAGGCTTGCCGGGCCAGCCCACTTTTTTTAAAAGTGTATATTTTTTTAGAATTTATTAAATTAAATTATAAAATTTATAATTTTAAATTTTAAATAAATTTATAAAAAAAAATATATACTTTTAAAAAAGTGGGCTGGCCCGGCAAACCTGCAGCCCACGTACTTGTGGGTTGGGCCGACCGTTTTCTGGCCCTGGCCTGTAAAAATGTCAAAGCATGTACGGGTTAGCCCAGATGGGGTGGGCTAGCCCATATTGACAGCTCTATTTTTGACAAATCAAAGAAAAAATAATTATTTTTTCTTTGATTTGTCAAAAATAGAGCTGTCAATATGGGCTAGGTCTGTTTGGGCCGGTCTGGCTTAACCCGAGATTTAATAGGACTGGACTAAAAAATTTGGAGCCCACTTAAAAAAATGGCTTTTTAGCCCGACCTGAATAAGCCTGCTGATTTGTGGGGCTTGAGAAATATAGGTAGGGCCGGCCCGTGGGCTAATACAAATTAATTAAAAAATATAATATAATATTAAAATTTAAAATTATAAATTTATAATTTTAAATTTTAATATTATATTATATTTTTTAATTAATTTGTATTAGCCCACGGGCCGGCCCTACCTATATTTCTCAAGCCCCACAAATCAGCAGGCTTATTCAGGTCGGGCTAAAAAGCCATTTTTTTAAGTGGGCTCCAAATTTTTTAGTCCAGTCCTATTAAATCTCGGGTTAAGCCAGACCGGCCCAACAGACCTAGCCCATATTGACGGTTCTAGTAAAAAATGACAAGTAAAAAAGGACAAATAAAAAGTCAAAATTGGACAAGTAAAAATGGACAGAGGGAGTATAGATATAAGATATAACTTTGACCCATTTGACTTAGGGTTCTTATAATTACTATATCCGTTAAAATTTTAAAATTATAGATCCAAATGTAATTCTTATCTATTTAAATGGTATTTTTTTGTATAGCTATATTTCGTGTTGAAATGTATTAAGAGCGGTTGTACATATTGACAATATTCTATATCATTCAGTACTACTAGCTAGTTTTAATATACATATTTGATTTAATTATGTAAAAAAATTATAGTGCTAAAAAATAGGATTTTTTTTAATGTGACAAACTTGAAAGTCTTGAAAGATTAAAGCAAACAAATAAATATAAAATAAAATAATAATAGCTAAAACGCAAAAATGCTCAATAATCCCTTAGAGATGCATAACCCAATTTTAAAAAGAAAAAAATAAGATTTAAACTCAAGACCCTTACCTAGAATGGTGTACCTAATCATCATCTCATTATATGATACTTTAAGCATGAATTCACATATTTATTACTATTTATGATCTCGGGAGGGAAGGATGGGTCACATAAACTAAACTCGGGGAACAACCCCGTTGATATATCCCATTAATGTGGTAACAAGATAACAAACATCTACTAATTAATGAAGTTATTAACTACTTTACATTCTCTAAGACAATACTTCCTCGTCCCTAATTACTTGTCCACTTTTGAATTGACACACCTATTAAGAAAACAATAATTGACATACTGAGTTTGTCATTTTACCCTATTAATTATGAATTGAATGAATTTAAAACTTAAGATTTCATTTTTCAAAGTAATTAATTGTAGGGTATAAATAGGTGAATTTTTTTGTCCTTTCTTGATTTGTCAAAATGGACAAGTAATTAGGGACAACTAAAAAAGGAAATATGGACAAGTAATTAGAGACAGAGGGAGTAGTTTGTAAAGAATAGTATTTCCTCCGTCCAACAATAGTTGTCAATTATACTATTTTGGGATATCCAACAATATTTGTCCACTTTATGAAATTAAGGGATAATTTTACACTTAGTTCTTATTTATCCTCATCATTAATTATAGTCATTTATCTATTACATTTTTTAAGACATTGTATATTATTATATTCAAAGAGTGATATAGTAAAATTATCATTTGATTTTACTTTCTTTAAGAAGTGTGCAAAATTAATAGTGATAAATATAGTTGAGTAGAAAAAGAATATCATACACCAAACAATTTATCTAATATGAAGTAGTGTACTCTTGCTTTAGTGTGAACAAATGATAGAAAGTCGTTTGTCCGTACTAAAAGAAATGTAAGGGTAATTGTGCCTACATTTGGTCAAAGGTTGTTTAAAGACCAAATTGTAACTCACAAAAGTGTTTTAAGGGGATGGGTGAAAATCAAAGATGAATTTTTTCTAAATATTGGAGCCATGCTTTTATGTTGCATGTGGACACTTGGGTCATGCATTAAGGAAGCTTTGAGATCCGCTTCCTAAAAAAAAAAAGGTTTGAACTCATAGAACACATTGTAGATGGTAAGATGGGTTCGATTTTAGTTAAGATTTTTGAGATTATTTTATTTTAAATTTTAGTTTATAGCTATATAAAAGATATTATATTTCTCTAAGAAGCATCTTGAATATCTCATAACTATTGAATATTTATAAAGAGATTATGAAAACATCATATATTGTCTTTCTCAAACTCTTGAATATTCCTAAAGATCAAAATATGTCACTCTTCTTGAAAATTGAACTTTTTGATAATCAAATACTTTAACAAAAACCCACAAAATCTCTCATGGATATTAAGTTCAAATCATCCTAATTCGAAAAATACGCCATCAACGCTAGGGTGTGTATCGGTTGGTTCGGTTTTAAGTATTATCGGTTCGATTTATTGATATTCAGTTTTTAAATATGCTAAATTGATAACCAAACCAATAAGATATTTGTTATCGATTTTTGGTCTTTAATGGTTAAGTTTTCGGTTTAACCAATAAGAAAATGCTTTCAAAACAAATATATGATTTGTCCAACGATTTGACGTGAAATAAAAAAAGAGAGAAATCAAATTACTTATTGAGTGCAACAATTCTGCTTAGTGTAGTAAAAGTATAACAAATATTCACAATTCACAGTCCTAGCCATTGCCTAATCCTTGCCGTCATCATTGCAAACCCTAGCCGTCGCCATTCTCCGTTCTTTAGATTTTGACGTTGTGAACCTAAAGAATAAAGTAATACTAAAACCTAAAGGGTAAATGCAGAGAGCAGAGTTAAATAATATTAATTGTGTAGGGTCCTTATAGTTATAGTCTAATATAGTGATTACATTAATATTTTTTGTTTGATATTTATGTATGACTAAAAATTAAAATACTAAATTATTATATTCTTAATGGGTTATCGGTTAACCCAATAACTCAATATTAAAAAATCAATATTGAACCGATAATCCAATAATTTTTATTTATAAATCCATTAAATAACAGTTACCCCAATAATTCAATAATTATTATTTTTAATAAAATTACTAAATAACTGTTAACCCAATAAGCCAATAACAATAAACCAATAACGTTTTTTTTTGTTCGATTTATCTGTCAATTTAGTTTTCGTACACCCCTAATTAACACTCTCGAATCATGGAGAAATTTTAGGAGAAAAGAATCAACAAATAAACAGATTTGTACCATAATATTTATCAATAAAATTATAATTCTTCATATTTTTGTGATTA